GGGGGGGGGGGGGGGGGGAACGTATGTGGCAATGTATATTTCCATGTTCTAGCAGCAGATTCATTCGATTTCGCTCATCCTATCGATGGAGGTACCACGAGGCCAAACGCCAGGTAGGCTCTCTCTCTCTCTCTCTCTCTCTCTCTCTCTCTCTCTCTCATACAGACACGTAGAAGTGTATAGTTCTACATTGTAGCGTAGGTTCATTCGTTTTTGCACATCCTTACACTAGCACTCAGCCTGTTCTTCAAAACTAACAGGCTGCCGGATTGCTTGTACCAACAAAATAAGCAGGGGGAATCTAAAAAAACAATCTAACCAAAAAAATCTAAGAAAAGTCTAAAAAAAATAATTGAAAAAAACTAAAAAGAAGAGAAAACTCTCTCTAAAAACGGTTGCCCGTTTACAACGGGTGCCTGCTGGCATTCAAGGGACTGTAAGTCCCTAGTCACTTTTGTATGCGCCAACTGGCGCTTCACCTAATTTAGTTTTTTTTTTTTTTTTTTTTCTCTAAAAGTCGTTGGCTTATGCCAACGATCACTTACCTGTTCGTGGAACACCCACAAACTGTTGAAATAAAGACCTGGGTTTGAGTCCTGATGGACTCGAAAATACAGTTTGGGTCATTTCTCGATTTTCATGCTTAATTTTGGCGCGGCCTATCTCGGTCGTGTGATCTCAGCGATTGCACGGTCAAGATGGACCGCGCCATCCACAAAGTGATGCAGCTCCAAAAGGAGCTATGCCCGGTAGGGCGCAACATTTCAGATTCGATCCCAGTGTCTATCGGGCAGTAGTCTGGTGTTGTAACCTACTGGGCTAGCTCCTACCACGGGAGGTATGCTAACAACCCTTCTATTTGAAGAGTTGCGGCCCAGTAGGCTTATCATCTTAGGCCTAGGTAGGCTTAGCCCTGCCTCGCCCTGCTAAAGCCGACATCCGGCTACCTAACAGGCTGGAACTCACCTCGGCGGTCCGCAAGGCACCCTGTTAACCGCGCATCCGCCATCGGGCCCCGACGCGGAGTTAAATCGCACAGCCCAAAATAATTGGTAACCTTTACCCGGCGTGTCCATTCTTTTTAGCCTACTCAGGCCCTGAATCACGCGGCTGCTAAGCCGCGCAACATTATTTTAGGTAGAATAGGTCTAGCTTTGTCGTTCCCATATCCGCGCACTTTTGCGGCCTCGACAAAAGCAAAGCACTGCCAGTTACTGTCACTACTCTTGGACGTCACAGGCGTCCGAACTAAAGCTCGAAAACTTTTAGTCCCTCAGTCATAGGTCTGGTCTGAATAAACTTTTGGCAACGTCAGTCTCATCAAGTCCTTCAATCCAACGAAAGAGTCAGAGCGTCCGACGTTCAAAACCCCCAGCAAATACCCTTGTCAGGGTATTTGCCTCGACAACGGAAGGTTGGGAGGTAGGGTGAGGAAAGTAGGGAATGTCAAGGGTAGAGCCCGGGGTGTGGTGATGCGAAAGAAGATGAGATGGAATGCGTAGGGGAATGAAACAGTTGAGCCATGGGGTTCCGAGGACGATATCGAACATCAAGTGCATGACCTCGAATGAGACCTGACTGCGGAGAGAGCCCACATTCATTGTGGTCTCGGGAACGGTACGGTTTATTATGACGGCGGTGTCCTTGTCCCCGAGTCGAATGGTGATTGGGGAGTCGTAATCGGTGGAAGGGAGACCGGTTTTGCGGGCACAAACATCGGTGATGACTTTACTGGTAGCTCCAATGTCAAGGAGAGCCCGAAACTTGAGCGTAGACGCACCTAGGGAGGTGGCACTGAATTTGAGTTGGAATGGGGAGGAGTCGACGGAGGCAGAGAAGATCATGGTGTTAAGACGGCGTTGTTCGAGGCCTAACTTAACGAGCCGATTGACTTGTGCTTGTTCCGCAACAACATCGGAGAAGGTGATGGAGAAAGGGTTGGGGAGGAGGGTGGAAAAGCACGAGGCGGTGATGATCTCGTCCTGTGGGGTGGAGGATGTCGCTGGTGGAGTAAGGTGCAGTCCGAGATCAAGGGTACAAAGTTCATGATGAGGAGGGGCTGGGTCCTGCAGCGGCTGAAGGAGTGCATGTCGCAGGTTTGTTCACGTGTTGAGTGAACTGGCCGGCATGGGGGCAGTTTGTTTGCTGGTGTTCAAGCTGTCGGCAGCGGATGCAGCCATTGTTGGCCTGCAAGTAGGTGCGTTCCTCGGTTGTGAGTTTCTTGAGACGGGGGGGTTGGGTGGAGGAAGATGGTCGAGCCGTGCGGTCCTTGCGTTCCATACGCAAGAACTGGGTGGTGTCGAGTTCCTCCGAGCTGAGGGACATTGGGGCGGAGTCGTCGGAGGGGGTGCCGGGCTCAACAAGAGGGGCTGTGAACTCGTCGTCAGAGGGGGATGCTATGGTGGTCTCATCCGCGTGGGAAGTGGTGGGACCGCGGGCAGGGCAAAGAAGGCGGTCGTGTTGAAGGGCACGGGTGAGGAGGTCGGTGAAGGACATGGGTGACTCATAGGCAAGGGCGGATACAATGTCCTTGTGCTAGACCCGCTTGAAGCGGAAAATGAAGACGTTGTCACTGAACTGGTCGTGAGGAATGTTTTGGCGGAGGGTACAGACATATTGGACAAAGCGGTCGGTGGGGCCGTTTTGGCGAAGCCTGCAAAATTGGTCGACATAGTCGTCGATTGTCTTTTGCGGGTGGAAGGTGGCGGAGAGGAGGGAGGCCCACTCGAGGAAGGAGAGGTGAGGTAGGCCGACAGAGTGTCGGTTGGCGGATTCGGTGATCCACGATCGATGGGCGGTGTCGACGAGTTCGTTGACGGCGATGGAAAACCAGTGGATAAGGGGGTTGTGGAGTTCGAAAGCTTGTTGTAAGAGGAGAACGTCGTCATAAGAGTGTCAGGAGAAGGTGGAAATGTCTTGGAGGCGGAGGGATGGGGGAATGTAGTCGGTTTTGGGGGGACAGCGAGCAAGGGTGTTGAAGTCAGAGGATGTGGGTGCGGACGCGATGCGGATGTAGTTGTCAGTGGGGTTGGTAGGAATGAGGTTGTTGGGGGGAGGCTGAGGCAAGGCGGGGAGGAGCATCGAGGATGACGCGTAGGGGATTTTGGTGACTTGCGCGTATGTGAGCGGGATGAATGTGATGGTCGAAGTGGTAAGGATAGGAGCGGACATGTGTTGGTGAGGAGGGAGGGAGGAAAGGTGTGTGATGGCAAGGGTGGAATGTGGGGGGATGGAAGTGGAAGAAGTGGGGGGTGGGGTAGAGTCGCTGGAGGACGGGGTGGTTGATGATGACGAAGGAGGAGGAGAGGTGGAGGGAGGCATGGTGGTGCAGGTCGGAGTGGAGGAGGTGGTCGGTCCGGATGTGGAAGGGGGTGGAGTTGTAGGTAGCACGATGATGGTCGGAGCTTGTTGCTTGAAGGCAGTTATGCGATCGGAGAGAGCGGAGATAGTGGCTTGTATGTCGGTGAAGGAGGTTTGAACGGTAGTTTGTACAGTGGAGAGCATTTGGAGGATGGCCGAGAGGTTGGTGGCGATGGCGGGGCCGGCTCATTGTTCGCCTGCAAGTTCACGGGAAAGGCTACCAACGGACTTGGTGTGCATGAGGGACATGTTGATACTGGAAGACTCAGCCATGGGGGTGGTGGGGGGTGATGCGGCTGTGGTGGTGATGGCAGCGGCGGAAGTGGCAGCAGTGGATGAGGCGACAGCGGCGGCAGCAACTTAAGTGGCAGTGATGTCAAGCGCATCGGTCCCGCGCAGGGCGGGACCCTCCCGGTCGCGTCACATAGGAGTTGGTCTAGTCGCGATACTTAAATGGAGCTTCCACAGCCGCTCCGGCCGAGTACGCCAGCCATACCTCTCGCGAGCCCTTACGACAGGATAGGGCCTACGCGAGGTACAACTTACCTCCACCTGCAGGAGTTGTCACCTCCCTTCGGTGGGTGTATCCCCGCCGAGCTACCAGTCCACAATATGAAAGCTAATCAGTTGCAATCGCAGAGGTGGGTCAGCCGAGGGCGTTTCTCGTACGTTGTAGCATAGGGGGTACGCGCAGGACCCACACGCGAACCGACACATTGGGGGGCTAAAGTCCCAAGTGCGACTCGTTGTCAGTTGGCCAGGACGCATCCCACTCACCAAGCGTTACACCAAGCTTCAAAACATAAAATTAAAAACACACTCAAACAACACAACAACAACACTTCCAGTCTCTTTAGTGTCCAACCCATAACCTTCCAACGTGAAAACTTGGTTAAGCGACACGTGCGAGACTTAGTATAAAACCGCGTGGAAGTAGGTCTTGTCATATCGACTAGCAATGCAAGTTTACGCAAGCAGTCGCAATGATGGCGTACTATTTAGTACCCATAATCACGCAATCATCGATAACCTCGAGGGTCGAGTCAGCTGACACGCGCCTTGAAGGGTTAAATTCTCACCGCTAGACAACCGCCAAGTGAGGTTGAGAACCACATCCTCTTATGCACCCTGCGGAGAGTAGGTGGTACACAGGTTCTTACCTGTGGTGGCAGTCGTCTCTCAAGGCCTTGGAGGCAAGCTCCATCATTCAGGGTCTAGAGAGAGATCAAGGGGTTTGACTTTGACCGCTGTCACGGACTCCAACGTCCAACTATAAAAACTCTAAAAAACAAAAGGTAAAAAGGAATTAAAAAAAAAAAAAAAAAAAAAGATTTTTCATTTTTCTCAAAACAATAATTTGTTTAACTCTTACGCACGGTCGCAATAGGTCGCGCGAATACTGAAGGCATATATATGTACCTGTATAAAAGGGGTGTATAATATGAGACGATCTCTTCTCACAATCATAGTGGGACTCCTCTTAGCCATATATATGTGTGATCGCAGGCTCTGCGCTCATACCCCTTCCTTTAGCCATACAAGCCCCAACCTTTGTCCAACCTTCCATAAATAAAAACACTCGATATCTGTTAAATGGTCGTTCAATAAAGTCCGGATGAAAACCCAACGAAACAATTCAAACCACAGGGCTAAAGCCTTTAGGTTGAGTTGGCAAGAGTAAATTGGAGTTGAATCGTAGACCGACGAATCGACAACCGACCTGTTATCAGTGATAACAAAAGATGATCCTCGTGGGATCGAGTTGAATCTAGTCCAAATCCTGAATCAAAACGATCAGGAGGACCTGTAACACAAGGCAAGTCAATGTCGAAGGCTAAACTATCAACGTATGGGGAATAAATCTCCATAACACACTCTCACTCAAGATTCTTTTGCTAACTAAGTTCAAGTCTACTTCTAAGTCAGTGTCCAAAGAAAGATAGAGATGTGGTAGAATCTCCACTATTCAAGGTGGATTGCCAAAATCGTCACCTGTCAAATAGAATTCAACTCCTCTAAACTAAGAAAATTTTGGCAGCGCTTCCCGTAGAAAAGTGTCTTTTCATAATTTATACTAGCTTCAATATAAAAACTGAAATAATCTCTAACTCTAGAAAGTCAAATTTTGTCTAACTCTTGGAATTGGTAAAAAATTGGGCAGCATCTCCTTTAGAGAAGTAGACTTCCCAGATTTATACTAAGTCAGATATGAACTCAAACATAAGACGCGAGTTTTATCAAGACAAAATTTAACTAACTCCTTTAGATTTGTAGAAATTTTGACAGTGCTTCCCGCAGGAGAAGTAACTTCTCGTAATTTTTACAAAGTTATATACTGAATCTAAAATAATCTTGACCTTCCAAAGTCAAATTTTGTTTGACTCCCTGCATTAGTAAAAATTTGGGCAGCACTTCCCCTAGAAAAAAAAGTTTTTCAGATTCTTACTAAGTAAGATGTAAGCTTGGATAAATAGTTGAACTTTTGAAAGTAAAATTTGACGAACTACTTGGTTTTGTAGAAATTTCGGCAGCGCTTCCCGTAGAGAAAGTGGCTTACCAAGATTTATACAAGCCAAGTATAACAAATGATCCAAGAAAATGTGATAATTGACTTAAGAAAAATTTAGCTCAGAAAATACAGAATTTGAACTAACTCTATAGCTCTAGCACGTGGCGAGCAACTAAAGCAACTACATGTCAAACTGAAACTCAGACCGAGTAGAGATCTCACTCAGCCACATGCAAGGCCAAACCACAATGATAAGTATTATCACTCATTCCCAAGTCAATTCCTCATAGAGTACATGAAACCCTCATATGATTTATCCCTTCATACCCAACTTACATATGGCATGGTGCTAGACCATTCTGCTTAGAAACAATGCCTAGCATGCCTTAGGATATATACGACCAAGTTGCACAACTACTTTTTCTATTCTTTGGGCATATGACGAGACCATTCTACTTAGAAACAATATCTAGTCGCCCTGAACTGTTTAATATCCAAAGTTTAATATTTATTGACTTGTTCTCAGAAAGAAAGGAAAATATGGATAGGGAACTGAGCCATTCCCCTTTGGAGAAAGGGTTTTGGAGGAGAGAAAAAGGGTTTTGGAGGAGAGGTTGAGACAAACATTAGTGGTGGGGTAGTTGTTTGTGCAACTGGGGTGGTAGTAGAGGAGATGTTCGGTTTGGATGGGATATGCGAAGAGGAGGAAGGAACACTTGTTGTGGTAGACTGGTGCGAGGGGGTCCGTTGTGTTGTCTGGGTTGATAGGGAGGAAGCGGGCATGATGGCGATTTTGGCGGAGGCTGCATTATGCATGTCTTGAATTTGATCCTCTAGATGGTTTCTCATGGACTGTGTAATGGCCCGTCAATACACGGACTGAAACATACAGTCGATTTCTGATTTCTGCTCATAGGATGCATGCCGTACTAAGTTCCCTGCCTGTCGATGTGTTTGCTGGGTCTGAGTGCGTGCTTGTTTGTGGGTTGCATGACTGTGTGTGGCCTGCATGTTGTCGGAGTGCCTTGAGTGTGTGTGTGACCTGTATGGGTCTGTGATGGCTGGGCAGGCCCGTGGGAGGGCCGGTACTTACCTGTGGCATGGCGTTTGAGAGCTGCAGCCGGGGATACACTCAAGTGGTG